TTTACTATGCAGCAGACTGGAGAGTTGTATAGTCTTAACTGGGATAGGTTGAAAGCATTGAATACAGAATTTAAATGACTTTACATTTTATGAGGGATGTGTTTGCAAAAAAACCCCAAAAAAGTTAAAAGTTGGCAAGATGAAGTTTCAGATGTGGGATTCAGAACTGCATATTAATACATAAGATTGTGTATAAATACTTGGATCTGCACGATAGACAAATCTGCAGACAGACTGTAGGACTGCATCCTTATTTCTCGCATTTCTCTCATTTCTCATCTATTATGACTAAGGACCCCCTGTACTCTCTTCTAATCATTAAAAAAGGGTGGATCATTGTTGAATTTTTTTTTTTTTTTTCAATTTTCTTAATACTAGGTGTGTTTTGCTTATTTTTTAAAGCCTCATCTTCTGGAATCTGGTGAGCATATTACCGTCCGTTTGAAACACACCAAGAATTTGAAATTTTCTAGCTTTTGTGCTCCTAAAATAAAATTATGGAATAGTTCTCAGATGTATGAATAAGGTTCAGACCAAAAAGCCAACAGATTCCTTATCTTTTTTAAACCTTTTAGTATTTTAAGTTGGTACCACCTAGGTTTGTGAGTGTTTAGTTTGGAATCCTGAGGCTCCTTTTCCTCTCTATCTGTTAGTACTTCAATGCGGATGTTTTTTAATCAGATGTTCATGTTTGAAACTTTAAATGGGTGTTACAAATGAGGATTTATCTGGGCATAAAAAAGAACTTGTTTGTTTTAAATTTAAATCACTTTTGGGGGCAAATTGCCATTTAAAACTCCAGATTTTTTAAGACATTTATCAGCCCTGGTGTACAAAAACACTTTAAAAAATGCTTATTGAGTTTCCTAAAATAACCATATTTTGCCAAGTCCTGAATACCCTATTGATTATCCCCCCCCTAAAAGTGGCATGAATATGCAGGATGCATGAATATTTTCAGTAAGTTTAGAATTTCTTTGGGACATATGCAAGAGCTCTGCGTGTCTTGGAGCAAGTCTTTAATTTCAGATGCAGAGGGAGCCTCTGGAGCGCTGAAAGTCTGCTGATTCACATCTGCCTACATTTTTTTAAATGGTTGTAAATGTATATATCTATATATATTTATATCCAGAAGATTCCAGCAACTTTTTGCTGTGGTCTTTGTGTCTGCAGACAGCGCTTCTCTCCAGCTGAAGATACTAGTGGGTGTTTAAGTTGTGATGGACCAGGAGTGCTGTGGGCTTCACAGTGTCAGGGGTGAGGTGCAGAGTTTTTGGCAGACGTGGTGGGCTCTGCAAAGCACGGTGGTTGTCCAGGAATAGCAGGGATGGAGTGGACACAGAGGAAGAGGAGATGGTTCTACGTGATGTGGTCTGAAACCTCAGGTTGTGGAGGGCACAAGCTGGGCACCAGGCACAGGGCATAGAGCTGGGAGAATGGAATTATATTCCCAGACCATCCATGCCCTGTGCTGGACAAATCAGCAGCTGAGGTAGCTGAGTTGCCTGGGACTGCGTGGGATTTTTTTTAGCTGCTTTTCAGAGAGCATTCTGAGGGGTTCCCGAGGAAGGATTGCAGGAGGTGGCAGAGCATGAAGGGGTACCCTGGCTATGTCTGGCTTTTTTTTTTTTTCTTTCTCCTTACAGAGAGGGCAAAGTGCATTTCTTTTGAAGAGGATAAGTTCAGAAACATTAAAAATCCAGACGTTAAAAATTCAAATCTTAAGCTGCTCCGGTGGACGCAGAGCTGATAAAATGGCGGCACCGCAGCAGCCAATCTCCAACCCTGAGGCCTCTGTTTTTCACAGTGCCAATTTCTGAGCAATTTTGAGGTGTCCTTCGTGTGTGGGTGTTCACACCCCAGGTTAAGAAAGCCATTTATACCTTTATTCCAGAAAAACCGTGTGCACCTGAGCTCGTGGGGAAGAGCAGAGGCACCCAAAGCTTTCGCTGAGGCCTGCAAATATTTCACCCTCCTTCCCCCTGTACAAGAGACGGGGGAGACACAGTTTGATTTTCCTGAACAAGCTGAAATAGCCTTTCCTAAAGGAGATCTCCATGTCCATACAAAGGGGTGGCACAGCTTTCAGTCCTGCTGCTCATAATGCTGCAAGTTTTTGTGCAGGCAAGGCCCAGGAGAGTTATGGTGGAGCTATTAGGAGGGGAAGTGATTTTTTCTTAGACTGATTAAAATTCTTTGGGCTTTCTGTTTGTTTGTTTTTAAACACCTATTTAGCTTTTAATTAACATTTAAGAGAAGGGAAGCTGGTTAAATATTCAATACCTCCTCCCTTTCAATTAAGGTAGAACAGTACACAACGCGTGATGAGGCCTCTGGGAAGTATGGAAAAATGGAGAAGAGCAGGCTCCTGATTATCATTTTCAGGGGGACTTGAAAGGTGAAATCCATCTGATTATTACTGCCGTTAATAACAATAATGTCGAGATTTTTAATTTTTTTTTTTTTTTAACATCAGAAAGCAGTTTAGAAATACAATTATTCTTTAAAACCGTGAGTCCTGTCTTTGGCCTTTAAATACCTCAATTTTCCCACTCCCATTCTTTACTTATTTCGGGTGCAGGCATGGAGGATTTTTTAATAGGCCCTTTTCAGTAGCTTAGTAGGGAGGCTGCAGATGCTGGGGAAGTTATTCCTCATGCTACATGCCCGTATCTTCATTTTGATGCAATTCTTTCTGAACCAGCCAGTCAGCAGCTTCAAACCATGCAGCCCTGGGAGCTCAACCAAGCAAGGGAGAAAGAGCTGTATTGTCACCATACTCCAGCCTCTTCCCCTTTCCCTTCTTTTTCCTTGAAAAATCCAGTTACCTTCTGCCTGTGAGCTGGTTATCCCTCAAAATTGCACATAAAGCACACAGAAAAGGGCGCCTCAATAGAAGAAATGGGTTAGGAATATGCTAGTATTTGTAATTCAACAAATTCACCCTTCCTAAACTTCAATTTCTCCCTTTTGATTTGGTGTTCCCTAATTTATATGAAAAAATATTTTGTTTTGATGGCCATCCAGTTTAAAAAAGGATAATGCTGGCTAAAAAAATCCCCCAACAAACTCATTTTACATTGTGGAAATCCCTCAAACCACTGCCCAAAAGGTGATCTATTTTTAAGCCTGCTATATCTTCTACTGTGGTGAGACAACTTACCTGTGGAAAATACTTTGTTTTCACCAAATATCCCACGAAAATGATTTTTTTTTTCAAATCACTGTGTTACATAAATGAGTTTTTTAAAATGGAATTGCTGGCACCAGATACCAGTTGTGTAAATATATGTTCCTGAATGAGTGGTTGCTTTTTGGCTTTTTTTTAAGGAATCAAGAGAGAGGAGATGCTAAAATGCAGAGCTATTGGATAGGTTTTGTATGCTATAACTTCAAGGTTTACTGGATATAGGATTGCATCGATTTTTAAAAACAGAAAAAATGGTTTGCAGAAAGATTTCTGACTGCATCTACTGCAAGACTTTCCAATTCAACTTTAAAATTAGCCTATTGTGATGACACAATCATTTTTAAAGTAACTGCTGTATGTTGTCTGATGACCTATTCGGTGCTATGGATTTTTATTTTAAAAAAAAGCAAAACCAAATGAAACATCAAAACCCAAGGTATTTTCTCCATGAACTTCTCTTCTAACTATATAAGCATATGAATATATTTATATATATGTCTCTTGTGATTGCTTATCAGTTGAGTTAATGATGTGTATTTACTGGCTGGACTAAAACAAGAATTAATCCAATTAGTTAAATAATTGGTTATTTACCAAATATTTTCTTAATTTTTGAGAGTCCGTTTGTACTTCAGCTGTAAATAACATAAAATCTCCCATCAATTTCAACTTAAGTAGTATTTAATTATCTTTTTAAAAGTTTTTATAGCTTTTATAGAAGCTATTCATAGAAATCACAGGAAAAATTTTGCACTTGCAGAGGATAGTGAAAGTAACACCTTTTGTCAGAAAGTTCAGCTTTCAAGTCAAACTGTCATTCAGGTGAACTTCACAACTTGTGTTTTTATTTTTTTTAATTTAATTCAATTTGTAGAGAAAAAAAAAAGCTGAAGGAAGTAGCATGCATTTGTCTGGAAATAGCCAAATTCTGTTACATGAAAAATTCTGCGCTATAATATGATTAAAAGTTGATGTGAGCAACCTAAGACAATTGAGTCCCTCAATTGTCTGACCCCAGAGCTGTATCCTTTATATGCAAATACCACTAATGTCAATTTTATCTCAGCTGGATATAAATTATATCCAGTTGAAACACACCCATGCCATGGATCTCTGGAAGATGATAAAGCTGGAGAGCTGATGAAGGCAGAAAGGCATTTTTCCTGTGGATTTTGGATCAGGGTCCTGCTCAGATGGAGAGCACGGGCTTCCTGTTGAGAGAAGAGATGAGACTGTAGAGAAAGATCTTCCCTTTTCTCTGCCTGCTCCCAGTTATTCTCTGATAAGAGTACCTTCAAGAGAGGGGTTAGAGGGAAAGGAGGAATCAGCTCAGCAAGAAGAATATTGAGGAGACATCAGCTATTTTCTGCAAGAGGCCATGCTGTAGTTTGATACTTCACCAAACTAGAAAAAATATGAATTCACAAATATTTGTGCTATGCACCCAGAAATTTGTAGATAAACCTCGATCTTACTCTTTCTTTATATTTTTGCCCCTTTTTTTCCCCTCTCCTGTTTCTCCGAAGCAGATGTCTAGTAAGAACAGCACTGACAAAAAGCACTATCAGTAAATCAATAACTTTTTTTTCTTTTTCTTTTTTTAAGGAGAACACACACAAGAAACCAATTCACCTCATTCTCTGAAGAAGGATGTGGAAAATATGGGGAAAGGTAAAATAAATAAGGGCCTCTTACATTATAAAACTGCTCTTTGTTTTAATAGAATATGAGGATAATAGGGGGCACTTTTGTTCTGCGCCATATTTTAAGCTTGTCAAGTAACATATGAATAATATATGGACCTTTGGGTGGATATAATTGAGATTAATGCATATATATCAATCAATACATGACACTGTAATATAATACTTTAAAATAATATATTACATTGATTTATATTCATGGCTTTCTGCACAAAATCTATGATGGTAGGTCTATGCAACACTTTTTTTTTAATAAGCGCTAAAATATTTTGTCTTGGAGTAATGAATAGCTCTGCAACTGTTCTTTCAAGAATTATTTATACAGATTATCAAAACCACTTTTTCTCTTTGTTAGAGGAACTCCAGAAGGTTCTGTTTGAGCAGATTGACCTACGGAGGAGGCTGGAACAGGAATTCCAGGTGTTGAAAGGAAACGCGTCTTTCCCAGTCTTCAGTAAGACACAAAATCTATCATTTTGGTGTTGTGTGGTGTTGTGCTTGGTTGCTGCCAGGCTGATAAAATGAGACAGGTTCTCAGTTGTGCTGCCATAATCCTGGGCTTAGTTCTGCTGAGTCCAGGTTGGGCAGGGCTTGGATCAAGTTGGGATGGTGGGAGGTGTCCCCAGGGTTGGAATGGGGTGATTTTTAAGGTCCCTTTCAACCCCTACTGTGGCTTTGGAGCTGCCCAAGCAAGTCTTTTGTAGGGAAAATACAAAGCTGGATGTTTGTTTCGGTGTGCATTCTGCTAGTTTTGATAGCATGGATTACAGGGAGTAGACAGGAGCACATCTGGATCCTCATGGGGTATGGAGAGGTTGGTGTCTCAGCCAACACCTCAGAGCTTCTGAAGACAAGATACTTAATCCTCATTTTCAGGAGGTTCCAGCTGATGCTGGAGAATTGATCAGGCCTTTTTAAAGAGTAGAAATACCTGCTTAGATTTTTCCCCTTGAGGTGGCCCTTCCACCACGGCCGCTGAGCAGGGTGCCGCTGCCCAGGCTGATGGAATGTGCAGGGAGTCTCAAATAAAACAAAATGGGCACTGAGCAGGGGTTTTGTGAAGCTGCCAGAAGGCTGGGCTGATTGCACAGGGATGTGGAAAAGACCCCTTGGCTGGGATCTCTCGAGTGACACTGGAGCAACGGCAGAAAGACTGTTCCAGGAGAAATCCCACCTGGATCAGGATGTTCCCACCAGAAAAAGAGGGAACACAGACAGCATTCTCCTATTTTTCAAAGAAAATATGCTTGTCCCCTTTTTGTAGCATCAGATAGGTAAGTTTAGGGAAGCAAGGAAGTGGGGGGACTCTGGGAATGACTCCATCTTTAGCCTGAATATTGAAATATGTAGACAGCTCAATAAATAAAGAACAGACACTTGACATGATACAGATATTAATGAAAGGAGTATAACCTCATCCTTCAGAATACATCCAGTCATTACTTGGGTTTGGGAGTGAGGTAATTTTCAAATAATTCGTGGGGATCAAAACGCTGCTGTGTGGTATTGGCAAAATGGCATCTTGGACTTTTGCCATTCAAGTCTCTTATTTATCCTTTTGTTCTTCTTCAGTAAAATTAATGCTCTGTCTTTGCCATGTAAATAAACACTGCAATTAAACCACATGAAATACTATTCAAATAAAAGAAAAGAACAAGTACGGCCGACCAAGGAAGTGGTGACTGCTGTATGCTGGCTTGAAAAATATGTGGTTTCAATGTACCACAAAGTAGTGGTCAATTTTCTTCAGGATTAAAATAGAAAACAGATAATGTGCTATAAACCATACCTACAAGTGACCGTAAAGCCTATTTACAGATTTAGATTTACCAAAAAAACCCACCCCTCCTCCACATGCAATAAAACAAGAAGAAAAGGGTCTTTGTGAAAAAAAAATCAGTGTAAATTTGTGTTGAGGGTGTTTTGTCCTTTATTGCATTGCGTGTTCTAGCACAAGAGAGGGGGGCTGCTCCAGGCTCTTGCTGTTGGGCTGTTGCTTTAGGTCAGGTATTAGAGTGGTATTGGTGTCTTGGGCAAGGAGGAGCCAGGCAGAGGAGTTTTTGGAGATCCAACTAAAGGAAAGTTGAGGTAAAATTTAAATTGTATTGAAAACTCATCCCTGTTTCAGCTGGGAGGCAGCATGCGAGATGTGTAAGGCCATACTATTTCTCTCTGGAAAATGCTTCTGTCAGGTTGCCTGCAGTGAGCTCTAGAGTCACCTCTTTTGGGTGACTCCACCTGGCACTGAGCACATTTGGGGTGTTCCACCTTCACAGCATCAAGCCACTGCTCACAACAGGGCTGTGCAGTAAATTATGTTTCGTTTCAGAGTTCTCTCGTTTAAATCACTGTTAAATGAGAATTGAGCTTATTTGCAAGCTCTCTAAGCAGTGCTATGCTGTGGTTTTCTCTGTGGCTTCTCGAACCTGCTTGAAACACGGACTGTGATAATTTATAAAACAGCAAGACCTTGTATTTCTCACATTGCTGTTGTGCTTGAAAGCCGCAGGTGAAATTTTCTTTCGCCTTTAAGATCTCTCAATGCAGAGATCACTCGAATAAAATTAAAAAAAAAAAAAATTAAAAATCAGATTGCATGTAGAAAGTCAAATATTTGCTGTCCTGATAGAAAGGCAAGCATCTCTGCATGGTCACAGCGTGTTCTCCTGGAGCCCTGCTCTGGTTTGTGCCCTTCCGTGTCGGCTGCTCCGCGTTCTGTCCGTCTGCATTTTAAACAACGTGGCAATAAAATGGCGGAGACGCAGTCTGGGTACTTAAAGTATTTAATTTTGTGTTAAGAAAGCTATTTAAATATTCATATCTTTTCTCCTGGGTACTGCTTATGGCTTTTTCTGTGAGCGTTTGGACTGGGATAAATGCTGCCGGAAAGAAGCGCTGTCCCTGCCATTAACACCCCATTTCCACTGTGAGCTTGGACATTTGGTGTGCAGGGCTGAGCAAGATCCCTGAGCTGTTTCTTTGCAGAGGTGATGAGCCCATGAAGAGGCAGCTGGGAGGAAAGCATTGAGGGGAAAAAGGAAAATATCTCCTTAAAGCCTACTCAGAGTGAAGCTGGAGGACCTCAGTTGCAATTATCAAGCCTTTAGTGGCCAGGACAGGAGGCAGTTACCTTTTTTTTTATAGTGCATGGTTTTTGGGGGGGGCTAGGAAAAGAGGAATTGAAAGTATGCTTTATTTTTGTTGGCTTATTTTTCTGATCGAGTCAGAGTAGAGGGAATAGGCTTTAGAGTTCTGTGGGAATTTAGTGGAAATCCGAAGAACTTCATTGAGATAATGCCACCATGTCCCTTTCAATGTGGTTGTGCTGGACTCCTGAGGGCTTCAGCTTGCCAAAATTTCTCACTCTTTCCCTGTTTCATTGCTCTTTCCCTGCCTCCTTTTCTTTCAAACAACAACTTCATCATTCAGACAAGACAAAGCTCTTTTGTGAGAGGGGGACAGAGCTCTGCCCCCTTGTTTTTAATTCCAGGACAGGTTCCTTACTTGAATCAAAATTATAGTTTTTGGGATGGGTTTTCTTTCCTCTTCCATTTAACAGCCCATCCTTGCACCCTGACGTCCATCAGGCAGCTCTTGGAGTTCTCTGGTTCTAGTCATTAGTTTGTTTATATTCCTGTTTTTCCCACCCACCAACAGGAGTGCTAAGGAACACAGAGCATCAGTTAATCTTCTAACAAATGAAGTTTTGTCTGAAATGGTTGTTTAGGAGGAAAATCAGGGAAGGAGGATCTGCTGGAGCAGGAAGGCTGGCCTGTGCTGTCACCCAGCTGCCCAGGATCCCTCAAAGACTTTCTCCCATCCGAATTCCACTCTTTATGGAGCTTCAGTTTTGTTCAAAGCCGTCAGCACAATGCTACAAACCACAAATCAAACCCTGCATCCTTGAACGCTTTCTCCTCTCACGTGCTGGACATCGCTGTTGATGTCAACAGATTTATGCCAAAGCAAAGAAGAGCAGTCTCTGCTCTTCTCTTCAGGGCCTGCAAAAGTCTGACTAATGACTGCAGAGCCTTGCCCGTGCAGGAAAATAGCTGGGAATAAATGCTAGCAACACAAACTTAGCATCCTATATTTTCTGACAGGGGAAGTAGTGAAATCTAACTTTTCCACATTTTTTCTGTTGTCAGCGGTGTCTCCTCTTAGATACATATTTGTTAGGTGCATGTTTTAATTGAGTGAAAGATTTTGTGATTCCTCAGTAGTGACAGGGCTTGATTTGCCTTGATTGGTGTCAATACTGCCGTGTGGTCTCTGTTTCAATTATTGCACCTACGCTTTTTTCCCCTCTCATACAGACAACTTTCAAGATCAGATGAAGCGGGAGCTGGCGTACAGAGAAGAAATGGTGCAGCAGCTACAAATCGTAAGTTTACTTTCTCTGATAAAAATGTCTTGAGCTGCTGCTTTGTGTTTTTTAGTGCACACCTCGAATTTTTCCTTTGTGAGCCATGCAGGTGAACCACTGCCGAGATGCTATTGCCTTATATTTAGCAAGAGGTAAACATGCAGTTCTCGGCTGGTTTGGAGCGTAATTACCTGGAGATTTACTTTCATACAGTAACCAGATGTGTCTTCATGTTTCAACTAAACAAAATGTGTCGACTCAACACGGAGAGGTGCTTCTGCAGAGAGGAGCAGGGAGGAGTGAATCAGTAAACTTTGAGCAGTTAAACGTTTCTGCCTAGGGAATCTGCTCAATCCCTGCTTCCCACCAGAAAATAAACCGTAGGATGTGTCTTTTTCTCATTTCAGACACTAGAAGAAGTGTTTAACTCAGCAGTAAAGGATCAAGTTGCCAAAACACAGTTCAGTGCAGGCACACGTTACTCTTGGGTCTCTTGCTTGTTATTTTAAAACCAAGAGGGATTTTGCCTGTGTGCTAGTGCAGCCCTGGATCATCACATCCAACTGTGTTGTTTTGAAAAGTTGATGTTCTTAATCCGGTGCAAGCAAAGGGTCTGGAGCATGGGAAGCTGTTCCACACTCAAATAAATGAATGCTTAGTGTGGTTTCAAGAGCAGGGCAAGGTGAGGGTGTCAGCTAATGCTTGCTTTGCTGGTGCTTTCTCTGTGATCAGTCTGACATTGCTCAGCGGGGTTTTGTTTTTGAGGCAAGTCTGGCAAATATCCCCATTTCTCTTAATCAGCCCTGTGCTCCCCCACTGAAATTTTCCTCCTGCTTATCACGGTGCAGAGAAGGCATTGCCCAGCCTCCTGGTACTGTCATTTTCTAATGGATGGGTTAGGACATAAAAGTAAATTTGAAGGCCGGGATTGTCAGACTTGTGCTCCAGCGTTTGGAGGCATTCAGGACTGGCCTTATTTTTAGAGCTTCCACGTGCCCTGTTCCTGCTGACTGCAGAGATTTCAATGAGAGATGGAGGGTGTTTGGAAGAGGAAACTCAAGTCCGGAATACCTCTGGGTGTTTTTTGCAGCTGGTCTGCACTCTTTTCCTGTAGTGTGCTCAGCTGTGTCCCCCCTTGTGTCTCCATGACAGGCAGGGAGTTTGAATTGACCTGTGAATTTTGCTGTCACAGAAAATTCTAATTAGGATGCCCATCCTGAAAAGCACTTCCTCTGCTGCTTTGGACTTTAGGCAGCTGACCAGTCAAATTTTCTGCTGCAAAGAACTTCTAGGCACAAAGTTTATGTGCACCCCAGTCTTTATCTCTAACTCTGCCTCCCAGGGAGAGAATGGTTCACCTCTGCCATCCACCTGTGGCCCTGTGGTGAAGCTGTTTCTGGAATTGGATATCCCAGATCTCCAGCAAGCCAGCTGTGGTGGTTTTCCTGATTTTCTTGGGCAGGAAAAGAAATATGATCAAGTAATTCACACCCTTTTCACTCACTGATTTGTGCTATGGACAGATTAAGACTCATTTAATCATTTGACAGAGCTCTCTGAATGTACTTACAGATAATAGTTTCAACATTTAATGTGCTGCACCAGCAACTCAGGACCTCTTCACTCACTACAGATGCCTTAGTTTAATTATTACTAATAGAAATGTTGTTGAATCACCAGTAAGTCTTCATGCTCATATTTGTGGGGCAGGCTGTGATCAGTGAGATTGATAAAAATATCTTTGTATGAAAAACTGAGAGACTGCTGCAAATAATGAGTGTGGTTGCCAAAATGGGGGCAGAAACCTTCAGAGACATCTTGGCCAATAACTGAAATGGAGTCAGCACTTTTGAGGTGATAGTCCCAGCAGTGGCTTTAATTCATTCATGGGAATAAAGCTTGTGTGTTTATATCTAGAATTAAGATTAATGAACTGAATGTGGTAATGATAGAACTACTTTGGCCTTCCAGGGTTATTGCATGGATGAATTGGTGCAGTACAAAAAAAGCGTGTCTGCTTTTGATTTTTTGTTTAATTGCTGTTGTTTTGTTTTTAACTGGCGCTTTTAGGTGGTTTTTTTGTACCTGAGATGCTGCACTACTACTTCAACAGGGCTTTAACCTAATTTTCTTGTTAACATAGCAGTACAAAGAGAAAAGCAGAAGCATTTCATGCATACTGAAATAATAGTTTTTCTTAGACCTTCATAGGTGTATGCTTTTGTAGTACTAAGCTCAAATTTACTGATATAACTAGCCACAGAACTTGGTCTAATTGCTTTTAAAAGTTATTTACAAAAAATACAGATGCCTAAAGTCAGGGGGGTTTTTGGCTCTTCTCACTGCTGAAGATATACAACTTAAATTAGTCCTTCCTGAATGTCCCTGGAAAGATTTAAGAGCCACGTGGATGTGGCACTTAGGGACACGGATTAGTGTGGGCTGGGCAGTGCGGGGGAAATGTTTGGATTTGAATATCTTGGAGGGCTTTTCCATCCTAAACGATTCTGCGATTCTCTGATCCCCTGTAACTGTGGGTGCCAGAAGTAGGTTTACCCAGAACGATCGTTTCACTCACCCCGAACTGAGTAATCAGGCTTTAAAATAAATTAACCCAGCGTGTTCGATGTTTCGGAAATACCTCTAATACAAGCTGAAAAAAAAAAAAATCAACCAATTATGATTGCACTTGAAAACTCCCCAGCACCAGCACCCACTGCAGCCTGACGCGAAGCTCGTGCCCTGCCCTGGCCGCGACGCTTTTTGCCCCGTTTTTTTGGGGCGATTCTTCCCCGTTTTGGGGGCGATGGCCGCAGCGCGGCCCGCGGGTGCCCTCTGCCGGCCGCCGGCCGCCACTGCAGCTCAAGCTGAGCCCGGCTTAAATAATCCTGGGCTGCACCACAAACCAATAAAGCAGGCTCCCGCTGCTCCTGCGGCTCTGCCCGAGCCGCGGCTCAAAAATAATAATAGTCCGTGGCTTCCTGGAAGCCAGGAGTAAGGCTCAGATCGCTAGGAAAAGCGACAACAGGGGTGGGCCCTGTTGTTTTACATCGTCACTGGGGGATGCTGGGTTCTTTGCAGGCAGCCTGGCTCGGTGGGCTGCGGGAGGAGCAGGCTGGCGTGTGGCCGTTGGTTTTGATGGGAATCACGGAATGGGTAAGGCTGCAAGTGGCCACTGGAGGTCACCTAGTCCAAGCTCCCTGCTGGAGCACGTTGCTCAGAACAGTTCTCCAGGCAGGCTCTGAACACCTCCAGTGAGGAAGGCTCCACAGCCTCTCCATGCACACTGTTCCAGCAAGGAATTTCTTCCTCATGTCCAGGTGGAACTTCCCCTGTTTCAGTTTTCAGAGTTTTCAGAGTGTCTGAAGCAGCTGCTGGGAAAGTTTGCAACCTATTTATGCCAGGTTTTCGGCTGAGTGCTAGGAAACAAACAATCATCATATTTAAAAAGAAAATGTTTCTTAGACCCCTGAATGCATTTTTCTGTTCCTCCCCTTGCAAAGTGCTGTCTCCCAAATTGGCTGAGTACAGGACGTGTACGTGGAGATCATATATAAAATATGGATTTTGCATGCTGATCCTGTTGTGCCAGGAAAGGTTTAAACTGGATATTAGGAAAAATTTCTTCACTGTCAAGCCCTGAGTTCAGCTGTTCAGGGCAGAGGTGAAATCCTCATCCCTGGAGGGGTTTAATGGCTGTGTGGATGTGGCACTTGAGGACATGGGTCAGTGGTGAGCTGGGCATTGGTGGCATGGTTGGACCCAATTGTCTTATGGCTGTGTGGATGTGGCACTTGAGGACATGGGTCAGTGGTGAGCTGGGCTCACCACTCAATTGGGTTGGACCCAATTGTCTCAGAGATCTTTTTGATCCTAGAAGATTCTGAGATTCTGAGGATCATCAGGCTTTTGTTGATGAGTTGTACAGAAAGGGCCAGAGAGGAGGAACTGCTGCCCAGCAGGATGGGGGAAATTCAGACATGACACATGTGGTACAGCCTTAGAAGAGCTCACCTGCCTTTAGAGTTTTTGGTTTCTGTCCAATGAGACCAGAACTCATCTGCTGGGACAGCCCAGCACCATAACCAATACCAAATCACCTCCTGCCTGAAACTCTGGGTCTGTCTGATATTGTCTTCTGGGCAACTCTGTTAGTGGAACAGACTTTAAAACCATGAACTTTCTTCCTAGCTACCTGGAGAGAGAAAAAGATCAGAATCAGCATTGCCAGCATTATGATTTCCATCCTTTAATGTTTTCATGAACCTCTCTCAAACATGGCCACGGGGAAGCACAACGCCAAGCAGGAAATTTAAGCCTTCTGCAAACTGAGAAACTTTTCTTAGTTTTCCCTCAGAGGTGCCTTACAAGTGGTTTGTGGGTTCTCAGGAGGCATTGACCTCAGTGGTGACCTGTCCACCAGGAAAAGCTCCAGTGGTGTTCATCACCCATGAGGATCAATCCCACTAATTTTACATTGGGGTAAAAGGTGACAGGTTTTGAGGTGTGTTAGAAATGTGAAGCACTCAGGCAGGCCTTTGTCTTTCCAGATGAGGTGAAAAATGATGGTTTGGTTTTGTTTGGGATATTTTAATTAGGTTGTGCTCCCGTGAACTGCCTTCCTCCTTACCAGCCTCACTGATAATAATGTTCAGAGCTGAGAACTGGATCCATCTGCAGCTGCTCTGTGTTTTATGGCTTTCTGCTCTCAGTGCTCCTTTAAATCAACTCTGTTCTTCAGAGTCAGGCAATAAAATAAATCAGGAACTATCTCTCTGAAAAACTGATTTCCATCCCTGCATTATCTTTCAGCCTGATCCTTAAAGATTGACAAGGAATGTTTAAAAGAAGGGGGGGGAAAAAATCCACCATGTGATTGTTGTTGGTAAATCTTCAGAGGCATGAGAGCCTGTTCCTCTGGGTCACAGTGTAATTCAGAAGAGCACCAGTAGCTCTAATTCTTAGTTTACACTGCTTATGGAATGCTGGTGATTTTGTACAACTAATGTATTTATTATCCAAACAAGAAGCACCCACATTTCTGTGTGGGGAGAGCTGGGTTCTCAAAAACAGGAGATGGGAAATGGCAGCATTTCAGTGCCATTTGTGATCTCTGTGCTTGGCCTGAAGTGGTGCAGCTCAGATGATTGACCTTGGGGAGAATGCAAACAGTTCTTCAGCAGAATGGCTCTCAGATTTCTTGAGTGGCATCTTGTGCTGAAGTGCCTGCTCACAGGCACACACATAATGACAGGTAAAAGAACATTTCTGGAACGCTGTGTCCTGTGTCCTCAAAAGGCTCATCCCTGATTGTGTACAGGAAAGTGAGCTGTTTTCACCAGAATTTTACATTTTATTTCTTGCTGTCAGCTTACTTTTTTTTTTTTTTTTTTTTTTTTTTTTTTTTTTTTTTTTTTTTTTTTTAAGAGAGGTGAGCAAAACCTGTATCTTGACAACACATGTGGATATGCCTTGGGTTGATAGGATGGAGCTGTGCCTCTTTCTCCAGTAAATTCAAATGTTAAAGAAGAATATTCCTTGTAGAAATTTAAAAGAAAGTTTCCTTTCCTTTAAAATCTGCAGACATTCTGATCAAAAATGGGTGTGGATGTACAGGGAGCCACAAGCCAGCCTCAGCTGCTGCATGAGTGAAAAATATTTTTTCTAGGCAACACAATGTAAAATTGTGTACCTCACCAGAGATGGGATGCAGAAGTGAAGCCTCTAAAAGAGGATGATGTGCTGAAGCTTTTTTGATATCTGAGTGTGTATAACAGGGATCTGACAGGACCTTCAGAAATGACTCCCCAATCCTGTCCATTACCTGTGCTTTGGTTCAAGTCGTGGGGCAGGCTCCAGGCTTGCTGACTGGGCTCCTTCCAGGTGGAATAAACAGGGAAGTGTTCCAGGAATGCACAGGGCACTGTGCTCCTGTTCCTAGTGGGTACCAGGACTAGATTGCAGTCAGCCTGGAGGAATATTGTCCATATTATAAATATATTTAAATATGTCCATATTGCATTTTTCTTGGAGTTTCTCTTCAGATCTGCTCTCATGTTTCCCACTAACGTGGACCTGGTCACAAAAACTGGGTTTTTTGATGCTTAAAACCCAACTACATTCACTTTTGTTATTTCTGTGCATCCTTTGAAAAGATGTACAGAAATACACCTTTTTGCCAGGAAGAGACTTAAATCTTGGTCTTTTCTGGTCATCAGTGGTTCGTGCACACACATTTCACCTATTCCTATTCCACCCCAACACTGGAGTTACCAAATGCTCTGACAATGACAGAAATAGAAGATGACATTGTAGGTGATTTAACTCATGGAGAAATCAGTAATTTCCCCGTTGAACACCCACCTCTCCCACTGCCATCAATTACCAGGAGATCAGGTGAAACAACACACGTTAGAAAGACGCCAAATATAGCGGAGAAGTGGATTAAGAACAGTTAATTTCTGACAGAATGTACCCCGTTGTATTATCTAGGTCAGCACAGCCTGGGAGATGTCCTATATAATTTGTGGCCATGCAAACCCAAGTTGGCCTTCGTGAGTGGGAGAGAGGCAGGAATCAGCTGCTGAGGCACCACAGCTCCCAGCTGGAACGTGCTGATGTCTTTGAGTTTGTTTGTGGCTCCCTTTTTCTGCATCCAATCCACGTCCAGGGGTGATCAGGGAAGCAGCTGTGCCTGGGGACACGGTGGAGGGGACAGCTCTGTTTCCTAGGGAGGAACTGGCCACAATCTTCCTGATACCTGTTATCTTCTGTCAGGGGAAGGGATTGTAAGAGTAGGCAGACAAAACACCTGGAATCTTGGTCTTTTCCAGGGCTGTGTATGGGGGTGGCAGCATGCCCCTGTGAAAGGGTTCTGCTTTCATTCAGACAGACACTGCTCCTTCCTGGTGCTGCTTTCAGCCTGATTGACCTCCTTTCCCAACAAATGAAAGGGCTGGCTCTCGGGCTTCAAAAGACCCTCTCTTTCCTTTCATCCTGACCCTTCCCTCCTCTTTTTCCTTGTTAAGGTAGGCAGGGATGGATAAGTCTCTCAATGTCTTTGCAGACATGATGCTTTACCCCAGCCCTGAGGCGTGCTGGGCACAATTCACACAAACATCCTCATAATGGATGGGCATAATGTATTTAAAATAATGATGGGCATAATGTATTTAAAACCACAACAGGGATGTACAGGAACGCGTGGGCTCAGTGGACACAGATGTAAATTCACTGTGTCTAGGTGTGTGGGGCAGGTTGCTTGAGCTCTCTACATTTGCCCATCTGTTCCTTCTGCTGTTTGTGCAGGTTAAGGCCTTGATCCTGACTTCAGGTGACATAATTGTCAGCTTGCAGGGACATATTTGACATTATTTGTGAGCACATTCTGGAGTGCCTGGCAGCAGAAGAAGGTCAGCTCAGTGTGCAGCAGCTCCTAGGAGTGCAGGGACACAGGATTTTTTGATCTCCCAGCCTCAATTCCTCCAGCAGTCCCTCCAAAAGTCATCATCAAAGAATTTGTAGCCACTTGGATTCCCAGCTATGGGGAAATCTCAGAGCAATTTAGTTTTGTTGCATTCTAAAGGCCCAGCACTGCAGAAGAGCAGCCCTGTAATGTATTCCCACTGGCCAATGAGCACATCATCCCACTTTGTTTCTAAATATAACTGTGTTCCCTAATATGCCCATGTTCTCTGTTTTTCTTTAATTATTTGTTCCACTTCAGTGGCTTCCCTTCAGATTGGTGCAAGCTGGAGATAACTATTATGAACTTCCTAATTAGGGGGATATAAATACACGGAGTCTCATGCTCCCAACCTGCTGTATTGTGGCTGTGCAGGGATCAGTGTGCATTGCCTGATCTGTCACAGACAGCTGACTTTTTATGATCTCACAGGTCAGCCTCTGATATCAACAAGGCATCAGAATGCGTCTTTTACACTGAATTATAATATTCTAACTGTTGTTTTAATTCTGTTTTAATTGCTTTATTTCTGCTTCAACCTCCCTGAGGTTTCATAAAGAGCTGAAACTTTGTATTTAAGGTGTTGTTTCCTACAATTGCTCCCCATTTTCAGGAAGGAAAACAAAACCTTTCCTTTGCAGGGATTTCCAGCTTGGGTGTTTCATTAGCCAAACCTTGGCTTGAGCAGTGTCTCTGTTTCTGTGTCATTCCAGATTCCCTATGCAGCAAGCTTGATCAGGAAAGAAAAGCTCGGTGCACACCTCAGCAAAAGCTAAAGGTGAGCTTGTGAAAAAGAGACTTCATTCCACTTGACCTGGCTGCCTGTGCTCCTCTGCAGGCGTTGCAGGAATTGAGAGGATTGTTCTGTTGTTTGATGTGGCTGGTCCTGGTCCCAAAGCCCTCTCTGTGCAGGTGCTGTGCTGCAGTTTAAAGCTGATAAATCACATCTGGCATGAATTACAAGGCTTCTCTGGGGTGGGATGTAGTGCTGGGAGCTGACCCGTGGGTCCTGCAGTGACAGGACAAAGGCTTCAAACTGGGAGCTTTAAATTAAATATTATGAAGAAATTCTTCCCTGTGAGGGTGCTGAGGCCCTGGCCCAGGGTGCCCAGAGCAGCTGTGGCTGCCCCTGGATCCCTGGAAGTGCCCAGGGCCAGGCTGGACAGGGCTTGAGCACCCTGAGAGAGTGGAAGGTGTCCTGCTCATGGCAGGGGTAGGATTAGGGGATCTTTAAGGTTCTTTTCAACCCAGACCATTCCATGGCCCTCACTGCCTGAGCTTGTGCTTTTCCTGGCACTGAAAATTGTCATCAAGGTCAACGTACCTTCAATGGAAGGAGGGAAATACTTTGGCATTCAGAGTGCAAAAAAAAATGTTCACACTCCAGGTAGGGAGTTTTTCTGCCCTTAATGGAACTCCTTTAGCTCCAGAAAAAAAAGCAGTATATCAGCATATTTTGGGAGCCTCACAGAACCCCACTGACTGTGGTTCTGTAGTTCAATGTCCTACAGAAGGTAATTATCCTGCAGGGCCTTCCTAAAGGTTCATTTAGTAGAAACACCACCTCCATCATCAGTGGCTTGGGAGATTCCAGTTTGGGGTGCTGAAGTATTAACATTTAAATGACATTCTCTGGGTTTTTTCCCCGGTAAAACAAGAAGATTAGGGATTGGAGACAGATGCCAAAAGCTGGTAGCCCTGCTGCTGTGTTATGCCACAAAATCTGGCTTGTGGATTCACTAAAAAAATCCCTGAGGAGAAGTAGGGGGATTAGGAAAAGAAGAGCTACTCATACACAGAGATCTCAGTAATGCACAAAATAGAGGTATTCAAGAGAGTCTGGGACATCTGTGAAGGGCTTGATAGTAGAGATGACAGAGGTTTGCCTGAGCTGCAGAAGAAGCAGATTCTCAAAAACAAAAGCAGTAGGAGTAAGTACAGAGTAACCAGATAACCACAATCTGTGGCCCGCTGAGATAAGGAGATTATTCCCAGCACCGAGCTGGTCTCTTTTGGCTCTTGTGCACACTCCCTTGCTGCCTGCCAGCCTTTTCCGAGCGAGCCTACAGCAATCTGAGGGCTGATTTAAAACAAACTCAGCGGCATTAGTACCCCGAGTAGGAGCAGCAGGTCCTGCCCCAGCGCCCTGCCTGCAGCGCTGGGTGCCCAATAAAAACCTGCCTGAGGATGCCAGCACCGGAGGAGAGCAACGCTTTGCTCCCATCGCCGGGCTTCCAGCAGCTCCCAGTCCCCGCAGGGACGGCGCTGGCATCCCAGCATCCCGGCAGGAGCATTCCGTGCGCGTTTGGCGAGGGCGGGGAGGATGGATGCGCTCCCCGCGCTGCTCCGGCTTCCAGCGGGGGTAAACACGGGGATGCCTCCTCGCAGCCCCGCTGCTTTTGGAAGATTAGCTGCTGCTGAAGTGCTGAGCTGGACCAGCCAGGCGGGGAACCGCGGCTGTGTTGTGCAGAAGGAGTTTCGTGTCCTTGATGTGCCGAGAAGGAGAAGTGTTTGCGCATCCCTGCCCACGCAGCGCTCCCAGGCGCTTCAGACTCTCTGTTTTGCAGAGCAGCCCCTCAGTTCCTGCCCCGAAGCCCTGGCAGGGCCCTCTGCTCCTTCCCACAGCAGATCTGGCTGTGTTTAATTGCACTGCAGGCAGTTAAAGCTCGCACTTCATCTTTATTGCCAATATTTCCATGTGACCCCACAGATACTCACTGGCAAAGTCTCAGGGGATGCTGCTAGAGCAGGTGACCTGTGTCCCTTTCCCAGGGGTCATAATTTCCACTAATGTCATAATTCTGTCACTGTCTCAAAACTTTGGCTTAATGTTGATAACACTTTCTCCCCAGAAGCACAGGAGCTTTTGCAGCTGTTACCTTATAAGTTATAACCCAGTCAGAAACCTGACTTGTATATAGACTGTGAAATGGAAGTGTTTGGGGATCTAAATAAAAAAAAAAATCAGGTTCCTCTGAACCTAAGGACAAGTGACCTCATAGTATCATGGACAACCATGTCAAATAGAATGTAGCAGCCATTTATTAGTAAACACAAAACAACAAAAAAAATGCCTGTCCTTGATATTTTTCTTTTTTTTTTTTTTTTTTTGGTGGTACCAAAGTTTAAGTCTTTGTGTTTTTAGAAGGACTATTGAGCTTGATAGGAAAAAAAAAATGCTTTTGAATCGTGCAGATAAGCTGTGAAAGGAACTGCTGGTCCTTTCAACGCCACAGACACTGACAACATCTGCCAGTTCACCTTTTGCTTTGGAATAGTGGTTGTTTTATGGAAGGAAATGAACGTCTCACCAGATGGGCCAGAACCACGTTTGGATGGACAGGTGGACAGAAGGATGGACGGATAGAGCAGCGTTAGCCATACACAGTGCTTTTTAAAAGCAGTCTGGAGATTCTCACACCCCTCTCCCTCGTCCCTCCCCCCCTCTGGTATTTTGCCTGCTGTATGAATTACGATTGTACTCCTCTGGAAATATTTTACAATTTAATATTGAGTGTAATTAAGAATATAATCACTGTTATCAAAAAAGGTATTTAACTCTGTTGTAGTTTCTTTATCATTCATGTGGATAAAAAGTCTATAATAAAAAAAAAAAAAAAGAAAAGTATGAGATAATAGTTGAGCTTCCCTGTAATTTAATGCCATGCTTAGTCCACTGAAGAAAACAGCTGGGAAATTTATCCCAAATAATGTCTTTTTACAAGTATTTTAATTTAATTTAATTAAGAGTTTCATGGAAGAAATTTCTGCATCTGGCTATTTTGAAAACTCTCAGAAGAAGCAGATTTAGTACAATTTTGGGATGTGCCTTGTGGATCCACGCAGATTTAGTACAATTTTGGGATGTGCCTTGTGGATCCACAGAGATAAAAGCAGTCAGTCGATTTTGAAGACTGCAGCCGTATTCCCCCAGGTCTTTCCTTGCTGACCTGCAGCACCCTGGTTGTCAGGGCTTTCCTGAGTGGATCCACCTCCTTGCTGAAGGTCTTGGTCCCAAACACAAAGGATCTCCCACAGCAGCATCCAAAATTGGTTTCAGCCGTGGGCAGCAGAGCTGCTCTCTCAATATTCCCAGCAAACTCCCAGCAAATTCCTGTGGGATTGAATCACCTGCCTTTACAGTTCCTCGGTGCAGCTGGCAGAGCTGGGAGGCAGGGGAGGAAAGGCACAGCCTTGTTTTCATGCCCTACCCTGCACAGTTTGCTCTGGTGTTAGGTGAGCTGACAAGGCTCATGGAACCAACAGAATCAAGGCTTTTGTGGTGTGGGGGGAAGAAAAAAAAAGCAGCAAAACCACCAGAAAAGCTGGGCCAGGGCAGCTCAGATTTTCACCTGTACCAGTAGCCTGTTCCCAGGAACAAAGGAAATCAGTTACTTTGTGAAAGCACGCCAGCAATTAGAGATATGTTCCCAGAATATTGTTTTAGCTACTAATGATTTACTGCTCATGGGTTTTCTGACCTAGACATGATGTCTTGCTTTTAGTAACCCTCAATGGATTTTTTCCCTTGTTCCACGAACACAACCAGTGATTTTTTAAGACCTAGGCACACTTTTAGCAGATTACAGCATCTTGTGGCAATAAACTCCACAGCTTAAATACAGCTTGCAGGGAAAATAGAGAAAACAAGCTTCTGATGATTTGAGCTGACAAATTTAGCCTCATTTTATGCCCTGGGCTTCTTGTACTGGATGAGACAAATTGCCTGTTGACTACTGGCCGTCCCTGTCCACTTTCTCCTTGCCTGGCATGATTTCATAGGCACCTCTCAAGCCTTTTTGGCTGTCATTTTTCCAGATTAAGTTGTAGTCATCCCTCCAACATGAGCAGCCCCATAGCTCTGTAGTCTTCATGCACCTTTTCCCAATCTGGAGCATCCTTTATGAGGCGCAGAACTAGCTGCACAGACTACTCAGGGTACAGGATCCTCTACAGATTAATGCACAGAGTGACACAGTGCTGCTTTCTGTGATGAATGAACCCAGCTGCAGGGTGGTGGTGAAATCTCTTACCACTATAGATCAAAAGTTTTGCCCAGACATAAAGCAATCCCGTTGCTCAATAAGAAATTGCCTCCCTAATGGCTTCTGAGTGCCAGAGCTCCTGGATGTGGTCAGGCGTGCAGAGCAGCCCTGGTTGTCCCTCACCATTTGAGAACCAGGCCCAGGAGCAGACACAAAGCACCTAAAGCAGATTTATTTGTTTTCTGCTCCCAGCTCAGCAGTGTTCAGGACTTCTGTTCCCCAGGGATTTTCCAGAGCACAGCCAGTGCTGGTGCCATTGTGGAGCCATGCATTAAATGCACAGCTCACACAAATTAATAGGCAAAAAATGCACTTCAAACTGAACGCTCAGACTCGAAATGTCCAATTTCCACTTGGTTATTTGTGCCCACTCAGGAAACAGAAGCACCATTTGCCTGGTTGGTAGCTGATTCACAGACCACAGTGGCAAAGGCTGTGATGGAACATAGAACTAAGCATGAATGAGGTGTTTTGAATTAAAAAATAATTCCTCATGCTGATAAAGGTCAAGAACGTGATTCTAGGAAACAAATAAAGGAAGGCCTCCACCTAAACAAATCACTTTGATAAATATCCATGGAAGCTCCTTATCACCAGTTGCTTTTTGCTTGCTTTCCTCTTGTGGCAAAGCTTGTACACATTAAAGTGAAAAGGATCCCACTGAACACTATTGTGTTGCACCAACTCAACCTTTCCACCAGCTGGCATCACTAATAAAAGTTACAAAAAAG